TTCTGAGGTCCAACATGGTGAAGCTGGTACATTGCAATTCTGAGGTCCAACATGCTGACAGCCTAACAAAATCCTTGTCAAAAGAAAGTTTTGAAACATTAAGGAAAAACCTTGGTGTTTCCAGCAAAAATGTCAAGGTGGAGTGTTAACATTGGTTGATATTTTTGCTGTCACCAATTGCAGTATTTTTGTGTATTAAAATCAGCCTATGTAATATTTATTTTTAATGATTATAATGTCTGTAAATGTATGGGTTATTCTGTCACTTTGTAAGGTTGTAGTTGGTAGAAGTTGTTGACTAATAGTATGGTTGAAAACATCTTGTATTTTACTTCAAAAAAACTGTCGATTATGGTGCTTTAGTACTGATCATTTTATCTGCAAGAAATCTGTATTTTCTCTTCCTCTTTGTTTTACAAAACCATCAGAATTCAGGATCATGGTTAAGCTGGTTTTACTTGTTTGGGAAAAGAACTGTACCGTGCAATTACCCAGCATTGTTGACTGCTTCATGCAGCATTTCAAATTTTCGGCAACACTTGCTGCAAATAATGCAAGCTACCTTTCACCAATAAGTCAAGTTTTCAAAGGGTATCTTTGAAGATCTTAAACTTGTTGAAGTTGGGATTTCGACCAGCATTGTCTTGAAGTACAATTGACAGACTCATTTCCATCTACTCCAAGAGGATTTGTTACCATCAATAGTTTGACACTTCGGGTTCTAGATTAGCCAAGTTAGTAATGTTTTGATTAATATTCCATCATTCGGTTTGGATTACTAGATCATTGGATCATTGTATTGTTTTACTTTGAATGCCAGGAAATGTCCAAAGTAGTTGTAGTCACAATTTTGATTAATACAAATTAATTTACCTCATAAAAAAGCTTCTGAAGTATGGGTTGAAATTGCCACCTAGGGTAAAATGGATGGACTACCACACCAAGTGTCCCTCTAGCTATATGGTAGCCTTTCCACAGCTCCCATCAATATGACTTGCCATGCCCAGATGGCCAAGATGATTTGTGCATGAATCAAGCTTAGGTTGCCCAAATAGTAACTCCACCTTCACTAAAGATCTGTGTTCCAGCTTTGAACCACATGGTTTCACCAAACTTAACACTGTCACAAAGCAAGAGCTCAGGGAATACACATCTAAGGGCTCCAAGTATAGACCATCTACGATGGATCAGCTCACCCTCATGGTTGTTGGAAGATAATTAAGAGTGAGTTTCATTGGCTTTATTTTCTATGAAAAATGTTATTTTTCACCAAAATTCCTACTTTTGACGTATTTTATTAATAATTTTTTTCATGAAAAATATTTTTCAACTTTTAGTCATGTGATCATCTTGTCTTCAAAATCGAGGAAAATATTTTTCTCGGAAAGGGGTCGTTTTTATTTTCTTGACAACTCTCTTTCTCTCTCTCATCTACCCACCAATAAAAAATGAATAAATATAATAATTTTTAAATTGAAAATTAAATCAATCAAATGCAGTTAATTAATAATTTTCATACAAACAAGTTCTAGGAAATTCAACCTAAATCAATCAAACTCATCTAAATGAATAGTTTTTATACAAATAAGTTTTAGGCAATTGAATTGCTTAAAATTTATTTTCTTTCCATACGAATGACATGCTTGCAAACGCACCGTACTTATAGTAACTTGCAGAATGGTAAAATGCAAAATGTAAAACTTACCGAGTCTCATGACAAAACTATGTCTTAAAATGAAATTGCCAGCTGTTAACTGCTGCGACTTCTTTAAAAAATCATTCCAAGATACAACAATCAAATTACTTATGTAGCACTCATAAATGATTTCAAAACATTCAAGTGTACTTCAAAAAAATAAATAAAATATAAATTCAAGTATAAAGAATAACATAATACGAAAATGATAATTTTTAATGTGTTTTTCCAAATAGCATACATGTTTATATAGCCTTAAAAGTGATAATAGCCTCCATCGTAAGTCGGAGAATAATTTATCCAATAATAGCCTAACATTTGTTATATTTACTACCTATTTTGACCTAGTAAATAAATTCGAAGACAATTGAAATAAATAAAAATATATTATTTTAATCAACGAAGCTCAAAAGCCCAGGGCTCTATCACAAGCCTTTTAATATTCTCATGGAATGAAAATTGAGCTGTCGTCTTCTCACATGAATTTCAAACATTTTTTTTAATCAATTGGGCACTTTATTTACCCTTTTTTGGTTGTGATTACAATCTATCTTTTAATATAAGTCAAAATCAATAATTAGTTTCAACCACATATTTTATGAGGTCTACAGCTTTTCACCTGCACAGTTTATCAATTTTTAACAAAATCTACTAAAAATATGATTTTAATTCCCACCAAACAATGACAATAATTTAATTATTTTTTTCAAATAATATATTTATTATATATAAAGATCTAACACTGGCAACTGTCACAGGATCAGTCGAGAGTCCAGCATTGTCCCAATCATAGTCACTAGAGACTTCACCAGTGAGTAGCTTGGAGGCTTCCCATAAAGACCAATTCATAGAAGTTTTACAGCGCAGCACCCATTTGGTCCATTTTCTTTTTAACTATCTTTCGATGCAAAATTGTCAAGTATCCTATCTGTAAAAAATCTATGAACCTCTCCTGTACACCAAGCATCTCTCTTCCGTAAAATAGACACAAGTACTTGCTACACAGGTAATGGAAGAGTCTTCATGAGGAAAACTGTTACCAAGCCTTGTTTACACCACGATAGATACCTAATTTACAATTTGAATCGCCTCCCTGTTTCTAACTATGAAACTTATTCAATTTCATGTTACATAATTCTATGTTGTAAAATTCTCGCCAAATAATATGAGTAATGCTATTCGGATAAATTAGAAATGATCCTCATATGAGGTAGCAAGTCTTATATCTATACATTTAATTGATATTATCATCCCATCTCATGTCTTCCGCGACATCTCATGATGATAATCCCATTTCATACGTATAACATTATTGATAAAGGAAATTGTTCACTCGTTGAGCAACTCGCCACCAAAATTAACTTATAGAGTAATTTAAAAAGATTATCCTCTCAATGAATAAACAAATTATATTTCTCCGTCTGGGTCAAATGCACATATGAAAAATAGTTTTCTTTTATAATAAATCATTGTTCAACTAAAAAGCTAAATTAAAATTTAAATCAGAATCAACAATTAATTTTAACCATATATTTTATGAAACTCACAACATTTTAACCACACGTTCCATCAATTCTTATGAAAATCTATTAAATTTCTATGTATGATTAAAAAGTTGATAAAATATGTAGGTCCTATATAATATATGGTTGAAAAAGAGTTTTTAGAAAGGAAAAAAATAAATGAAAAAAGATGAGCCAAATAAGGGCTAAATATTGTATGAATAATTTTATCTAAGATGCTACGCTATCACTAGAGTTGCAAAATGTAGTCTTCCTAACTTACTACGACCATATATTTCTTTTAATTGTACATACTTTGTATAAATAATATGCAATTTATTTTGAGCTTTCTTTTCAACAATAGATACCTCCAGGCACCAAAGGAATTCGAAACATTGAATTTAGACCGTGCATTTTGTTTAATCTCAATTGCATGTTTGATACTACAAGATAGGATGATATAAAAATGGGTAATTGGTACAAAACGTCCATACTTTTCAAGTTTATTGTCGAAAATATCCCTACCTTTCATTTGTTGATATTTTTGCCCCTACCTTCTACATTTCTTTGCACAGAAGGTTATTTTGACGATTTTACCCTCCAATAAAATGAAACAAAAAGAAATGAAAAGAAAAAATAAAGAATTAATTGCAATCATAGTCCCAAATTTTTTTAAAATTTATAAATCAGTCATAATTTATTGTGAATTACAAAAAATTTAAAATTAAGTAGAGAAAAGAAACTTGAATGTACAGGAAAATAATCAAGAAATGGAGAAATTTTTTAATCTTAACCAATGAAAATGAAAAAAATTTGAAGATTACGTGATTTTTGCCTCAAATCTTCCATCTACTCTTCACTAAATAAAAATTGAGATTTATACTTACCCATTTTTGAAGATTTTCAATTTCATTGGCTATGGTTAAAAAATTTCTCTATTTCTTGATTATTTCTCTGTATATTCAAGTTTCTTTTTTTTATTATGGGGTAATTTTAAAAATTTTCAGTTCACAATAAATTGTGACCGATATGTAATTTTTTTGAAAATTTGGGACTATTATTGTAATTAATTCTTTATTTTTTTCTTTTCTTTTCTTTTTGTTTTATTTGAATGGAGGGTAAAATTGTAAAAACAAATGAAAATGACCTTCTGTGCCAAGAAATGTAAAAGGTAGGGGCGAAAATGTTAAAAAATAAAAGGTAGGGATGCTTTTCACAATAAACTTGAAAGATAGAAACGTTTTGTGCCAATTACCCTATAAAAATTGAGATAAGGGATGGGGAAACTTACTAGCTCTTACCACCACTCGAGAGAGAGAAGAGAAGTAAGAAATTTGCCACTGTGAAAAATACTGGGATGTGCAATAAACATGTCACTTGGCATCAAATTTTAATGAATCAGAGTACTCATTTAATATGGGAGGTGATGAAGGGGCTATACATCAATTCTCACATTCTATTATCATTATGTAAAATGTTAAGCATTTTCTGTACACTATACGACAAAGATGATTTTAATCTTAATCTTTACTAATATTTTAGTTACTATGTGAATAGTAAAATTTGAAAACCACTTTGCTTTTCACTATTTGGCACGCAGAATTGACAATAAAATAAAGAAAATTGATAATTTATTTGTGTTGTTCAATCCATCGAAGACAAGCATACAACTCCAATAAAAAATGGCAAAAATCACCTCACGACCCCAGTAAATTTTTTTATTTTTATTCACTTTTTAGAATGTGGATAGAGAGAGAAAAATAATCAATTTATTATGGACCATTCAGCAATTCCATGTTCTAATGGCGGTGGCTTTTGGACTCTTCTGAAATCGCATTTGGATTCACGTTCACTCCCCCTTGCATACCTTTTCACACCGCATCTTCGCCCATACCTGAAAAAATCCGATTACCATTTTTTCAACCCGTTTGACCGACTAAGATCGGTGGAAAATCGGCTGATTGTCAACTGTTTGATTGGATAAGGTCAATATAATGAGCGGCGATAGACGGAACAGTGTAGAAGAGGAGTTCATCAGAAGACATCACAAGCATGAGGTTGGAGAAAATCAATGTAGTTCGTCATTGGTTAAGCACATCAAAGCCCCTCTTCCTCTTGTAAGTCAACGCTTCAATTTTGTGATTACGGATCCTTTATAGTTGCAGTTGTCAAATTTTGTCAGCTAATTTGATGAATTGGAGATATTTTTGGATGCTAATGTTTGTGAAGTTTATCAATTGCTCTGATTTTGTATTGATATGTGACAAATTTTAAATCCCATTTCTACATATTTTGAGCTAATATGATGAATTTGAGAGATTTTTGAATGGTATTGTTGGTATGTGACAGATTTTTAATCCAAATTCTAAATCTTTTGTGCTAATTTGATAAATTAGAGAGATTTTTGGCTTTTATTATTAGGCCAATATACCAATTGTTTTGGTTCACCAACTGGAAACATACTCCACAGCAAGACCCTCGCCCGCCTGATACTAGTTGAAGCAAGCTAGCCTGTGTTGGTTGGGTAAGAGGGAATTTCCATGGTAAAAGATTCATCCAGCCACACGTTTTCTACGGCTATCTATCTTGTTATGATTCCACCACAGTCGAAGATCTTTCTCTTGTTTTCCCTTTAAGTGACAAGGGGGGTGAGCTGCACCAAGCTGAAAGAGATTGTGAATCCCAAACTTGTCTACGCTCATCCAAACCGTCCTCAAATAGCGATCGGAAAGCAAAGCCCTTTCTTCCAATCCAAGACTTATGCAACATTTTTTTTTTATAAAAATTCCCCTTGCTTTTGTCCTAAATTGATGAATTAGAGATATATTTGGCTTTTTATTATTAGGCCAGTTTACCAGTTTCTTCGACTTATGTGGCAAATTTTATTTTATTTTACCTCTTTTTTTTTTTTTTTCCCAGTCAGATGCTTGATACATCGTGTTTGAATTTAAATTTCGTACAGGTGTGGTCCTTGGTGAGGAGATTTGATCAGCCACAAAGGTACAAGCCCTTTGTGAGTACTTGCATGGTGCAGGGTGATTTGCAGATAGGAACCGTTAGAGAAGTAAATGTGAAGTCAGGACTTCCAGCTACCACTAGCAAAGAGAGATTGGAGCTACTAGACGACGAGGAACACATCTTTAGCATGAGGATTGTGGGTGGGGATCACAGGCTAAAGGTATTAATCAATTAGCTTGATTCGTTTCAGAAATTTCTTAGAAGTTATATTGGTTGCGCTTTTAATGTTTAGCATAGTGGTATACTTTTGGTGTATTGATATGATCTTGTTTATATATGGTACGGAGTTATATATGTGAATTTCGGTTAGAGAGGGATTTGCTACATTTTAATCCTTGAATAAAATAAACGAAAGCTTTACAATTTAGCAAATTACTTGGTGAACTGCTTGTTCATTTCCTGATTTTCTTTATCACAATTTTAACTTGATTAATCAATTGAATTTCAAATACAATCTATGATATATATTTTTATTTTCCATTGAATTCAAAATTATTTTTTTCCTCAATTAGCTAAGTTTGTGAATAGTTAAGGCTATGGATTATGGACTGCTGTTGGTAGGTATGGTTAACTGTGAAATTTATTTGTAAAAGGTATTTTTCCATCCGGTTTGTGCAATATGATCAATTTTTCTTGTGAAGTGTAATTCTTTATTTGCTTCTTTTCATCCGAATTTGACACACACAGTCCGAATTTGACACACAGAGTCATAATTTGAGTTGTCTTTGCATTGAAAATGCCATACATCTTACCTGCCTATCTCTTGGTTGGTCAATTCAAAAGAATTGTGACAAAATCTCCTATATGGTGTCACTATGCATTTGGCCTTAACTCTTTGTTGTTAATTTTTTACTTATATGCGTTCACAGTGTTTTTCCAATTTGAGAATTGATGTGTATTAATTAAGGTTTCTACTGTTAAGGTTTTTTTCAACTTCTTTACAATAAAAAATTGGCCCAAAATTTTCATAAATTGAACCTTGCTTAAAAGCCAGTGCCTAGCCCAATGCTGAATTTTGGTCCACGCTAACACAAACTTCTAGATTGTCACCTGTTTATACAGGAAATTCAGTTAAGTTACTTGATCATATCATTTTCTAGTTTGCCAAGATTTTTTATCTTCATCATTAGCTGACTGAGCAGATACATTTTTTCTTTTCCTGTTTCCGCTTCAATAATTTTGTAGAACTACTCTTCCATTGTCACCGTTCATCCAGAGATCATTGATGGGAGGCCCGGGACTATGGTGATTGAGTCATTTGTGGTGGATGTGCCTGATGGAAACACGAAAGATGAAACATGTTACTTTGTTGAGGCCTTGATCAAGTGCAACCTGAAGTCACTAGCCGATGTCTCTGAGCGTTTAGCCGTACAGGACCGAACAGAGCCAATTGGTAGAGTCTGAGCACATTAAGATTTGACTGTAATCATCTTGGCAGAAGAACACCGGACTTTTAAGTAGAAGCGAGTTGAGAGACTGGTACTTGGCCAGTCCTTCTCGGTCTTTAAAGTATACTTATATGCTTCGTTTTCGTCAGTCATAAGTTGGTGTTTGCTTGTTGCTGTAGTTGCTTGGGATCTGTCTTGTTATTCAACACGTGGTTTCTTGAATGAATACCATCCATTTCATTTCTTACATGGACCTTGTTTTGAGACTGGATTGTAAAAATTGAAGGCTCGGAGATAACAGCTTTATTTGGGAGGTTTTAATAACTATGTCTTTATTTAAGTCATGTAATCATTATACGTCTGTGTGGTAAGCTGTATTGGATAGTACTGGAAACTAGTTTTAATGTAGATAGAGAAGCTAAAATCCTATTTAATGTACTGTCTAGTTGTGTACCAAATGTGGTGCATTAATATGGTAGTTTTTTATTGACTAATACGTAAAATAATCACTGACAATGTATATGTCACGTAGGATATTTGCGAATAACATTATTCTTGAAATACGGCGTTGGTGGTGATTATTTCTATTTGACTCAATTGCCTCGTTCAGCTTAACTATATATAGGAGGGTCCCATCCCGAATGATTACCTCATCTCCACTAAGAATTATGTTGAAATGCATTTGTTGACACATAAAAATTCAGCCCAAATCGAGCAGCACAAGGAGTGAAACCCAATTGGAGGATCCCCAAATCAAACAACCTAAAGAACGAAGCCCAATCGAACAAATCAAGATGAAAGCCCAAATAAGGAGGCCAAGAACGCGGTAACGCCATCGCCCAAGTTTGCAAGTCGCCCAGAATCTGAGCGAATGGAGTGTCATACAGTCGCCCAGAACTGTTACTCTATTCTCGCCCAAACCTTCAAGTCGCCCAAGGTCTTAACAACATAAAGCGTCGTGGTTATCAAGAAGTGCAGTTATCAAGGCAGTTATTGAAGCAGCCCTATCACGTTCCACGATTCAAGGAACTCAATCAAAAGCGGTTGAACGATGAAGAGTAATGACAGCAGTTAAAAAAGGCAGTTTTCATGACAAGTTGGCCATTACGAAGAAAGTGGGCAGTTATAGGACGATCAAGCAGTTTTTAGAGCGGTTGATCACAAAGAGATCGTCCATGAAGTATAAAAGGGAGAAAGGACATAGAAGCAAAGGACCGAATCCAAAACTCTCGAACAGAGAACATGTAATTTTCATTTCCTTAGTTTTTAGACTTAAACACTTTTCTTTCAGTAACTCGTGTGCTTGCGCCCTTTGGAGGCACGTTGTTTTTCACTTCCAATTGTAAAGTCATCGCCAATAAAAGAACACCCCTTTTTGGGACTTTATCTCAAGAGGTTTGTCCCTTACACAATCGTCTGATCCCTTTTAATTGTTAGCGACTAACCCGCGCGAAACAATTTGGCACGCCCAGTGGGACAGTGGTGTTAGGTGTTGAAAGTACAAAAGGGGAAACAATATGCCTAAGAGGTTCGATAAGGAAGCAGCAAGTCAGGGAGGAATCCAGTCTGTGATCGAGCGATATGAGGAGCAGCATGCTTCTCCACGAACAGATGGACAGAATCAGTGCAGTAACAGTCGTTACGAACCAATGACGGAGTTGAGTCCTCGAACCATGCGTGCATTACTTGGAGAACTCACACAAGACGTCGTTGAACAGGTAAATCTTCGAAGTATTCATAATATGGAAAGATTTACACAAAATGGGAATGTACACTATGACAACATGGCCAAACAACTAAAGACGTTGAACGAAACAATGAATAAGTTAGTAGGCCAAATATGTCAACCGGCTATACCTCTTACAAATCACTTTCAAACTAGGACGATCGTGGGACATAATCCCTCAGTCCTAAATTCGAGTTAAGGGGTAGAACCGCTTTCTGGTCCCTCTACTTCAAACCAAGGGGGTACTACAGTGCCAAATCAAAGCAATGGTAGTGGTATGCCTAACTTGGGGGGTAATCCAAACGTGAGAGATAATGTCCTAAACAGTGGACAGAATATTCCACGTGGTAACGAGGGAGTAGATGTTCAGGCTAATGGTAATGACCTTAATCATGGTAATTTTGTTACCAATCAAGGACCAAACATCAGGCCTCATGCAAATCAACCGGTTAACCAACCTGTAGGAATTCCATATGACCCCAACGTCATGTTGAGGAACCAGATTATGGAAATCGTACAGGATTAGATGGCTTTTGGGGTGCGTCCCGTCATTAGGCCGACGTACACAAAGCCATATCCTGATTGGGTAGACCAAGCATATCCATGGCCTAGAGGATACAAAGTGCCAGAATTCTCGTTGTTTACCGGTTTAGGAGAGGTGTCTACTCTAGAACACATAGGGCGATTCACATTACAAAGTGGTGATGTAACCGATTACCATAAAATGAGACTTTTCCCTAGTTCGTTAACAGGAGTAGCTTTCTCCTGGTTCATCAACTTGCCAGCGAACTCTGTTCAAACATGGCAACAATTGGAACAATTGTTTCACGCTCAGTTTTATAAAACTGAGTCTGAGGTCACTTTGGCTGATTTGGCGAATCTACGTCAAATGCCAAATGAATGGGCAGAAAGTTTTCTCCAAAGGTTCAAGACATCAAGAAGCAAGTGTTTTGTACCTCTGCCCGAAAAAGAATTTGTTAAGATCGCTCAAGGCTGCTTGAGCTTTGATTTAAAAAAGAAGTTCCAGGACAAGGAATTTCCTGACCTGTTCCAGTTGAGTGCGAATGTGATTAGGTATGAGCGACTGATAAGAGAGGAAGAGCAAATGAAAAATTCTAGTAAAGGAACTTATTACAAAGACCCAAATTTTGACGTTCATATCATCGACGACGAGTCATACGATCAGGTCGAAATGTGTTTGGCCGAATTGGTAAAAGGGGATACATATACTTGTTCCATAATGGCCAAGCTTAGACCATCGGGCAAAGATGAGCCCATAAAGGATGGAAACATAAAGGCTAGAACGTTCTCGTTCGACGTGACCAAAGCTGACCTTATATTCGATAAATTATATAGGGATAAGCAGATAAAATTGAGCGATAAGCATAAATTGCCAAACCCTGAACAAATTAAGGGTAAAAAATATTGTAAATGGCATAATGCATGGTCACATTTGACTAACAATTGCTTGGTTTTCCGTCATGTATTGCAGGATGCCATTGAATCAGGACGAATTACGTTCGATGATAAGAAAAAGATGGCAGTGGATGAAAATCCTTTCCCACAGCCACTTGGAGTAAACATGGTGACATCTGGATTTAAAAACAAGTTGCCAAAATTCAAGTTGGTCGTAGATGATGGAGAAGAAGATCCTAGACCACATCCCAGCGTCTTTGAACGAATCAAGGGGAAAGAACCAAAAAGGGACGAAAACATCTTGTGTGCAAGGTGTAAAAGAGAAGTAAATAGAAACACGAAGAAGCCAGGGACATGGCAGCATCCTTATCGCCCTACCTTCTTCCCAAACATTCAGCCTGGTAGGGGGCGAGGTACATCATTCTATAGAGGACCGCCTTTTGAGAGGCAGTTCAGGCCAGCAGATAATGGAAGAACATTCAGGCCGCAACCTCGCCGACCAAATGTATGACATTCATTCCAGTACAGTGCAGAAAGGGCAATACCCTTCGATGAGATGACTAGGACCCAACAAAGGCGTTTCCAACGAAACTACGGACGGATGATGAGGCAGCAACAGGGAATGCCACATCCTAAAGCGTCTAAACTACTCAAGGTAGCAAATCAAAATATCGTCAAAAATAGTGAAGAGACCGGTACAGATGAATCAATGAAGGAACTGCCAGAAACTTCTTCTGGGAGATCAAGGTTTGAGCGAGAAAGAAGGGATGAAGAAGATCCAGATCAGCCCCTTAATATCCAATTCGGTACGTTACCTCCTGTCGTGGCCAATAATTATCTACTGGCCAATGAATTCAAGAATAAAGAAAAAGAAGAAGAGAAGGAAGACAACGAAGAAGAAGCTTGCGTGTTGGTATGTGAAGAAGGCCAGACCTCTAGAGAGGCCTACAACGACGAGGAGGACAATGGGATGACAGACATTGAAGAAGAAATTGACTTAGAAGCAGAAAGGAAAAAGAGAGGAGTATCGCGCAATACTCTGTTTAAGCAACTACATCAAGAGGGAGTTCGCGAAGTAGACTTGTTGGGGGAACCATCTGGGCGTCCTTTCGATTTCTATGTACTGTATGGGACACCCAAAAGAAAGAAGAGAGTGCCCCGCCCTGAAAAGTATGGGTCACCTCCAAGAATAATGCCCCCTCCAACAGGTTGGGTAACTGATGAGGAAGCATTAGAAAAGAGTAAGAAGGAAGTTCAGGAGACAGAGGATCAGCATGATATACTGCACGTCGACTTATCACAGGTGGATAATTCGACAGAAAACAAGCAAGAAGTAGAAATAGAGGCTGCCGAAAAGGTTATTTTCAAACGGCCAGCCATGAAGTTGACTAAACACTTGAGGTCGTTATACGTTAAAGCTCTAGTCAACGGCGTCCCAGTGGTAAAAGTGCTTATCGACAATGGAGCAGCTATAAACACCATTCCATCTAGGATGATGAGGAAGTTCGCAAAGACAGAGGGTGACATGATTCCTACAGAAGTCATCCTCACTAGCTTCAATGGAGGAGCAACTTCAGCTAAGGGAGTTATGCCATTGGACATAACTATAAGGACGACTACTAGGACCACTGTCTTCTTTGTAATAGATGGTCCTACTAGTCACAATGTGCTCCTAGGAAGAGATTGGATACACGGAAGTCGTTGTATACCCTCGTCGCTTCATCAGTGCCTGATCTTTTGGAATGAAAAGGCGAGGCAGAGGTGGTACAGGCCGATCATAGGCCTTTTGTCGCAGAAGCAAACTCGGTGGAAAAGTTCATGTACGAAGGAAACTATGGACCTGTCAGAGTAGTACAAGACAGGGAAGAAACTCAGGTTGTCGCGCAAAGAGAAGAACCATTCTCAGTGGACGCACTCACTGAGATGTTCAAACAGATGAGGCCAAATATAGTGGCCCTGGAAGAGCCAGTAATTGGCAAAAGAATAATTAAGGAGTCTTGAATGAACTTTAAGTTACAAAAGCAAACGGCCGACGTTCAGGCCTTCAAAGCCAGACTGATGGCTTTCAATAAGGAATGCAATGACAAGGCGAAAGAAGAGACTGCCCTAAAAGCGCTGAAGGACAAGTTGGCAGTATTCGAGTTAGAGCAAAGCATTGGCCAAGAAGTCAACAAGGTGGACTGTTTGGAAGAGGAGGTACTTACAAGAGAACTGG